TGTTGCTCTTCATTGTTTACATTGTACATTATACAATTCAGGGAAAGTGCTTAATTAGAAAAATGCTACCTAGTTATAATAATCACTTTTTCCTTAAATATTCTTATTTTGAGCTACTTAGGCATGAGGGGAAAAATGAACATCAGCATACAGTATGTGAGAAAATACACATAAAAACACAAGCAAGGTTATTAAATAAAAATACAATCTTCTATATTGAGAGATTTATAGTTTAAAAAGTTGAAATGTTATATTACTCATATATATGCATGATTAAATCAAAAGCCAAAACTTTTTATTGAGATATTGAGGTTTATGTAGGCACCTTATAGCATGTTGGATGTAGTTCAGAAATTTTCTGAAAGAGGAAACTTGTTTATTAAGTGAAGAATGATGTGGCTTTTGAAACAGGCATAGCATGAAAGTCAGGCTACCACCTTGGAATAAATATCTAAAACTTGATTACCCAGTCACATTTCCAGCTGATTCTAACCTACTAGGCAGGAAGGGAAGCAGTGCTGTAGTTACATGTATCTAAGTTTCATTCAGTGATTGATGACATGCCCTTTTCCAGATAACAGAAATAAGTCAAGGCAAACAGATCTGGAAGTTTTGGAAGGTTGAAAAACTTCAGATTTCATGTACTTAGAAATTCGCTGAAGGGATAAAAATTATTCCCTAAGAGGTAAATACCTCAGTATATGTCATTAATTAAGATTAAAGAGAACCCCAAAGAAAATATCAGTGCCACCATTATTTTTCTCTATTCTCTTATTTCCAACAAAGGAAAAGAGGAAAGTGCAAAGCTTTCTTTTCATGAAGTCAGTGCCTAACTATGTCTCATTTTCATGGAGCTCACAAATCAGGATATTTGCTATCTTTTTGGAAGCTCTCGGTGTTGTCATTTATAAGCTCTTATCTTAGAGTTGTTAACGTCTTTGAACATAAGTAGTAACAAAGTATTTTGCTCTTATACACATCTTTCATATTCTATGCAAAGTTTTGGCATGGTAACTATCTCATCAGCAGGAATGTATTACTCAAGCTTCCTCCTAAAGCACACTGCAGGACTGTTTGAAATAGTTTGGGACCAAATAATCATAAGGTTAGAAAAAAAAAAAGTAAGTTAATTCAGGTTACCCAAGTTCTTCTTAATTGTATTTATTACGAAAGAGTACTAAAGTTCATGAATTTGTCATCAACATTGTTAACATGCTTTAAGTATTTCCATCCTGTTTACTCATTAGACAGTATAAAGCCAGCATGCGTAGAATTGCCTATTTTGTCTTGACAAATAAGTGTTTCCACACACATGAAAAAGGCTTGCTTTGGCCTGTGTGGCTCAGCTAGCTAGAGCATCATCCAAGCACCAAAGGGTCATGGGTTTGATTCCAGATCAGGGCACATAACCCCCATTTCGGTTTGATCCCCAGTTGGGGTGCCTGTGGGAAGCAACCGATGAGTCTCTCTCTCCCTCCCTTTCTCTCCCTTTCCCTCCTTCCTTCTCCCTTCCTCTCTCTCTCTCCCTCCATCCTTCTCCCTTTTTCTCCCTCCTTCCCTCCCTCCCTCTCTGTCTTCCTGTCCCTCTAGAATCAATGATAAACATATCCTCAGGTGAGGATTTTAAAAAAGAAAAAGGCTTGAGTCCGATGTGAAAATAAGTTCTAAAAGAATGACCCTGGCCCTGGCTGGTTTGGCTCAGCGGTTACAGGGTCAGCCTGCAGACTAGAGAGTCCCGGGTTCGGTTCCCGCTAAGGGCACGTACCTCGGTTGCAGTTTGTCCCTGGCCATGGTTGGGGTTTTGTGGGTGGCAACCACTCGATGTGTCTCTCTCACGTCAATATTTCTCTCTTTCTTTCTCCCTCCCTCCCTCCTTCCCACTTCATCTGAAGATAACTGCAAAAATGTCTTTGGGTAAAGATAAAAAAAAAAAAAAAAAAGAATGACCCTGGATTTTTCTCACTGCAGATTTATTTAATTTTCCTTTTGCTTGGTTTAAGACCCTGTACTATAAGAATGATAAAGTGGTAAGCAACTTCATTGAATGTGACTCCATATTCAACACATTCTGGTACCTCCATGTTCATTAGTGAACCATACATTATTTCATCCTCTGGATGCCTAGAAGAGAGTGATATTAAACTGAGTAGTGTTCAACGCTTTATTCTATAAACAGGGACTTTGGTAAGGGAGGAGGGATTTTCAAATATTGTCCAAAATGATAGTCTCTAATGGGCTAAACCAGCTGAGATTACTAACCAGTGTTGTCTAATCTTATAGATTCCAATTTCCTGTCAAATGGCATTTAGGAGCCACTGATAATTTAATTTCCTGGCATGTACTGTTACTGAAGATTTATTTGGTTTCTCTACTCAGCTCTTAACAAGAAAGTAAATCTTTGTTGAATGCACCATTTCAATATGGAAAAGCCAGTAAGACAAAGATTTTATGTAACATATAAAGGACCAGAAAGAATGAATTTAGGAGAGTGATTTTCAACATGCTATCACTGTGACAGGTACTTTTTTCTGTATGCAGAAGCTAAAGGCAGTTTCAAAGCTACATAGTTCAAGGGGATGGACCCTGGCTTCATCATGTCTCTGCTTTTTATTTCTAACACAATGATGTAAGGGAACATCCTGCTTTTCTTTTGGGGGGAAAGTACTAGTAAGAACCATTCTCTGGTCTCAATAAATCTCTGCTGTGATACAGCTGCCTTGAACAATTATCTTTGCCCAAGAATGATACTTACTTGCTTCAATCATCAGTTCTATGGAGATGAGGGTTCTGTGTGCCCCCATAAGCTGGAATGGGGCTGGTTCAGAACATGATGCTTATCAGTGGTCCGATTCCCTCTTTTGGGGGACTGGCTTCCGTAACTGACCCAGTTCTGAGTGACAATTCACTAGCCTTCACCAAGGCAGGGTCTGAAACACACGGTAGAGTTTCCTTAGCTCACACTCTGCTATTTGGTTGCCTATGGCAACCAGATCCAAACATCTTGGACATGTGTTTGTATAAAAACAAAACAAAACAAAAAAACAAAAAAAACTGGGTCCAGCCAGTGTGACTCAGTGGTTGAGCATCGACCCATGCACTAAGAGGTCACCAGTTCAACTCCTGGTCGGGGTATATACCCAGGTGGTTGTCCCGATCCCCAGTGGAGGGCATGCAGGAGGCAGCCAGTTGTTGTTCTCTGTCATTGATGTTTCTATCTCTCTCTCCCTTTCCCTTATTCTCTCTCTAAAATTCAATAAAGAAAAATATATAAACAAAACAAAGAAACAAACAAACAAAAAAACTGGGAATGGGATCCAGAGGGAGTTTGGACCCGTTTAGTTAGTGCAGAGCTGCCTGGAGTACTGGGCAGCTGCTCATTGTTTTCCCCTCATTCTTTCTCTAAATTACACTGGAGGCGTCTGCTAGCACAATAACCATGTTTGTGGGTAGTTGAAAAAAAAAACAAAAAAAACCAGTCCCCATTCTCATGTTTCCTGAAGCAAGTTAAATAATTGCTACTTATTTGCCAATGTAAGTTTCTTTTTCAGGGAGAGTGGAACAAGTTACCATATGTTTAAGAAGTTGAGAGCTTATAGATACTCGCATTTGGTACCTTTTTGGTGACAGAATTAAGAGTGCCTTAGCAATGTTTGTAATTGCAGGTGGGTGGAGGTCAAGATGGGGCAAGGGGATTTGTTCATACGTTGGGCAAAACTCCTTGGGATCCATTCAGAGATATAAAAGTTTTCTGCCAGATTTTAAGTAAATATAGACATTTATTTATTTATTTAAATGTTTTTATTGATTTTTTTTAGAGAGGGGGGAGGGAGAGAAAGAGAGAAACTTGGATATGAGAGAGAAAACATCAATCAGCTGCCTCCTACAGCCCCTTCTCCTCCCCACTGGGGATCGAGCCTGCAACCCAGGCATGTGCCCTGACCAGGAATTGAGCCAGGACCTCCCACTCCACAGAACAACACTTAATCCACTGAGCCACACTGGCTGGGCAAATACAGACATTTTAAGCAAATTAATAAGGATTGCTTATGTGCCTAGCATTGTCTACAGACAGCAGTGACTCTTTGTTCAGATGAATTGAATTTTCCGGTCAAGAGGAAACCAAGCCGTGGCCAGTTTTGCTCAGTGGTTAGAGCATTGGCCCACAGACCGGAGAGTCCTGGGTTCAGTTCCTGATAAGGGTTTGTACCTCGGTTGCAGTTTGTGCTCGGCCCCGGTTGGGATCTTGTGGGTGGCAAACACTTGATGTTTCTCTCTCTCTCTCTCCCTCTCTCCCTCTCCCTTTCTCCCTCCCACTCTATCTGAAGATAAATGCAAAAAAAAAAAGTCCTCGGGTGAGGATAAAAAAATAAAGAGGAAACCAAGACCTCCAGAGGATGCTATTTCTCCCCTCCCCAAGAAGTTATGGAGGAGGAGCTGTAAGCTGGCAGGAAGGGTTCTGGCTCACTGTCTAGAACAAAGTCCTTAAAGCAGAGGTCTGGGCATCTTCCTCCTCCACCAACCAGCTGAGCCAGCCAGCCTGTAACCCAGCCAAGCGTCTCTCCCCAGAGCACCTGCTTCATGCACACTGTTCCCAAAGCTGTGTGTCCCTTTGTGTAAAACAACTCCTCTCTTGCCTGCTCCATCATACCCCTGCACTAGTTCAATCACTGCTCAGAGCTACCACATCACCCAGAGCCCCTGTCAGGCCAACAAAAGCTCTGATCCACTTGTCCCCCTCAGTGTTCCGTGTGAAGCAGCACAGGGGGATATCCTAGCAAGGGTTTCTCCCAAGTCCCCAGAGACTTCCCTAGCCATTGGCCTTCTGGCCCCTGGGGAGCTACCCTCACGGGTTCTTTCTTCTCAGGAGTCTTACTGAAATATCTGTTGCCTTGGCACCTACAGGCCCCGAGTGACCTTGTGTAGCTCTCCCCCAGAAGCCTCTGTGATACAGCATGCTAGTCTTTCCATTGGTCATTTCTTCTGCCTCCTTGCCCCCATAGGTCCCTCCAGGTACAAGGTGGGCACCATGGCTGAGAAATTTGACTGCCACTACTGCAGGGACCCCCTGCAGGGTAAGAAATACGTGGAGAAGGATGGCCACCACTGCTGCCTGAAGTGCTTTGACAAGTTCTGTGCCAATACCTGTGTGGAATGCCGCAAGCCTATTGGTGCAGACTCCAAGGTAACAGTTGTCCTCACCTGCGGATGGGATAAGGTGATTTTCCTGTGGCTGAGACAACAAAAGTCTGCCCTCTCCCATATTCTCATTACTGCAGCCACCCATGTGGAAGGCAGGACAGGCAGTGGTACAGAGACAAGGAAACAGAGGCCCTGGCCTAGGAGCCAACCACCCTTGCTTCTAATGCTTGTTCCCTTGACAGTGTCCTGAGCTGTCTGTGTGGAACTTAGAGCAGCTGGTGCCAAGGCCCATGCCAGTTCTGTTGGTTGTACTCTTTTTCTTGTTTCAGGAACTGTGAGTCTTCCATCCTCACCTCAGTGTCCTTCATGTAACTCACTAAAACATTCTCCTAAGGGCATCCCCAGGTACAAGGGGTGGTGTCATCTCAGTATTCGGCCCCTACTCCCCTCCTAGTACCCCTGGGTTACTCACAGCAGCCCAACCCTTTATGCTTGGTTTCTAGGAGGTGCACTATAAGAACCGCTATTGGCATGACACCTGCTTCCGCTGTGCCAAGTGCCTGCACCCCTTGGCCAACGAGACTTTTATGTCGAAGGACAACAAGATCCTGTGCAATAAGTGCACCACGAAGGAGGACTCCCCCAAGTGCAAGGGCTGCTTCAAGCCAATTGTGGCAGGTACTGCCCACACTTACTCCCCGGGTAGCCAGGGAGAAGACCTGTGGGCATAGATAAAGTGGGGCTGCTTGGGAGGATGGGGCTAATGCTGCTGTGAGCTGCTCTTAGCTTTTAGCATATATATGCACGCATATATATATATACATGTATACATGCGTACACATATATGCTCGCATACACGCACACATTCGGAAACTAAAGACCACTGGAGAGAACTGTCTGTGGCAAGAAAAGGAAGTGAAAAGTATGTAGCACTTTCTCATTTGGGTAGAGTAAGTGATTGAAGCATGCTTCTTCCTTAGGGTGTAACTCTGGGTCAGCCAGTCCCCTGCAGAACCTCTGAAGTCCACAAAGGGCATGGGAGTGGGGACTCAGGTATCTACTCCTCAAACACTACAGCTGGGGTCCCCTCCTCAACAGATCTGAGTAGGCACACCTACAAGTAGGCCATCGTTGAGAAACCCCCCACGGGTAGGTTCATTGGAAGCGTGAGGCCAGTAACTGCAGGGCCTGCATTCCCTCATCTCTGGAGGGCCCAGGGTGAGAGCTGAGTGGATGCAGTCCCCTGCAGAGCACTATCAGTGGGGCTATCCAATCAATTCCTCCCCTCCCATAGGAGATCAGAATGTGGAGTACAAGGGGATCGTCTGGCACAAAGACTGCTTCACCTGCAGCAACTGCAAGCAAGTCATTGGGTCTGGAAGCTTCTTCCCTAAAGGGGAGGACTTCTACTGCATGACTTGCCATGAGTCCAAATTTGCCAAGCATTGCGTGAAGTGCAACAAGGTATGTTGTCATGCGAGTTCTGCATGGACTGTTGTTTCTAGAAGTGTTTGACAGTTGGCAGAGCACTTGCACACACACTATCCCATTCCATCCTCACAACGGCCCTGTGACGTGGGAATTATTATGCTCATTTTACAGATGAGGAGACTGGTAGTAGAAAGCAGTGCCCAGACCAACTCAGGCTGTCCAAAAGGCACTTACCCTGGAGGCACAGGCAGCCCTGGTTCTAGAGGCCTACCTCCACCACCTAGTTGCTGAGTAACCTCACACAGGGGCTCGACTTCTCTAAGCCTCGGTATCTTCATCTGTAACTTGGGGATAATAATAGCACCTTCCTCCCATGGCCGTTGTGGCGATTAAATGAGATATTGTAGACCAAAGCGCCCAGCACAGTGCCTGGCACATAGTAGGCGTTCAACAAAATGGTTGTTGAATCTGAATTTGGTGCTACACTCCCTGGTCTAGGCCATCACATCTGGAGGAATCACTTACCAGGATCAGCCCTGGCATGCCGAGTGCTTTGTGTGTGTTACCTGCTCTAAGAAGCTGGCTGGGCAGCGTTTCACCGCTGTGGAGGACCAGTATTACTGCGTGGATTGCTACAAGAACTTTGTGGCCAAGAAGTGTGCTGGATGCAAGAACCCCATCACTGGTAGGCTAAAGAGTCCTTGCTAAGTCGACCAGGCTAGGTTTTGCGCATGGTAATCATCTCTCATTTTCCTACGTTGGTTTCATTCACAAAGGCCCCAAAGAATGCCCCCTCCCCTTGCCATTGTGATCCCAAAAGCCCCCAAATAGTTTTGAATTCTCCCCCAGGCCAGGTTAGCCTTTGCAATACAGAACACTTTCTGACTGCTGCTGACAACACTGTGCTGCAGAGTTTATGAGCCTGAGACCCATGCCATGGGCAGGCACTGCGTGAAGGATTTGGAGGGTGGGAGGGAGAATGGGGTAGGGGTGGGAGAGAGGCAAGGGGGAGGGGAGGGAGGCTATAGGCTGTGGGATCACAACACACCATAGCTGAAGGCTAGGTCAGAGGTGCCTGTGGGCAGCTGTGTTGCCATCAGAAGCCGAGCTAATAACTTCATTCCTCATCTCGCGCCACGCCGGGATCCACGTGCCCTGGGCCCTTTCCCTGCCTCCACTATTCCCATCACCCCGGGGAGCCTTGAAATGTACATTTGAGAAGACTTTTGCCATCCTCAGGGAAAAGGACTGTGTCAAGAGTGAGCCACCCAGTCTCTAAAGCTAGGAAGCCCCCAGTGTGCCACGGGAAACGCTTGCCTCTCACCCTGTTTCCCAGCGCCAACCTCCGGGGCAGGCATCCGGGTGGAGAGAGGAGTTGTCCCTCGTGGGTGGTGGTTCTTTATAGAAAAAATCGAAGCTTAGCAGCTCCTCGAGGCCCGGTAAGTGCACACCCCACAAACAGCCCAAGTTTGCCTCCTGGTGGACACTTTGATGCCATGGCCCTGACCTAAATCAAAGAAACTGGTTATGCTGGGAGGTCCATGCAAGTGTCACAGGGAGATTGTGGTGGCATGGGAATGTGGGTTCTTTAAATCAGGGAAGCCCTTGGCTGAGCTCTGGCATCTTCTCAGGTTCTTGAGAGATGTAGCAGGGTCACGGTGGCATGGCATAGGGGACAGATCACGGTGGAGAGGGGTGGCCTGGGAGCCAGCAGATGCTGCCCTTCCATGCTTGTTGGCTCTGTGAATGGGCAAGGCAGCATTGCATCTCTCACCTGTATTAATTCAGCTGTCTCTTTTGTTCTCTTTTGTGTTTTCCACAGGGTTTGGTAAAGGCTCCAGTGTGGTGGCCTATGAAGGACAATCCTGGCACGACTACTGCTTCCACTGCAAAAAATGCTCCATGAATCTGGCCAACAAGCGCTTTGTTTTCCATCAGGAGCAAGTGTATTGTCCCGACTGTGCCAAAAAGCTGTAAATTGACAGGGGCTCCTGTCCTGTAAAATGGAATTGAGTCTTGTTCTTTGTGTCCTCACCCTCTGCCCTATACCATCCATAGGGGAAGAACAGTCTCCCACCTCTAAAAAGTTGTTCTTTCTGTCTTTTATCCCATTTTACAGTATTACTCAAATAAGGGCACACAGTGATCATTCTAAGATTTAGCAAAACCAGCTCCGCAACAAAGTTAATTTTGTGATAGCTGCATATAAAAAACGAACACTTAGATAGATGGACTCTTCTGCAAGTTTATCACAAAGCAGAAAAGTACTAACCATTTAGCTGCTTAATGATGTAAGCAAGAAGCCTAAGACATAAAGTTCCCACTGAGATGCCCTTTGTGACTCAGCTGGGAACCACCATGTCATCACAGGACACAAGAGTTGCAGCGGCTGCTCCAACTCGCTGCTCATCCTGTGTTCTGTGAGCAGAAAGAGAACTTATCGAAATGCATGGTTTAACTTCCTCATCAAAACCTTCCTCTGTTCTTTTGTGCTTTGGATGGACTAATATGAATTTCTAGAAAATTAACATTTGAACTTAGCTGTGATTCTAAACTGACCTTTTCCCCATACTAACCTTTGAGTTTCCGGAGTGCTGTGTTTTCTGAATGTTCCTACTTTCAAGCATGGAACATGCAGGTGATGTGGAAAGTGTAGGTAGATCTGAGAAAATGAGCCTGTTTCAGAGGAACATCGTCACAGTGAATACTTCTCTTCTGGAATTTTAACAAAACTAACCCAGCTGTCATTTTTTAAAATTAATAATATTTTGTTTTAATTAATAGCAATATAGATTATCGGTTTGGAGACTTGCATGAAATATTTTAGCCTCCTCAAACGTTCCTGCAGTTTTGAAATCATCCTACAGAAGTAACCATAAAACTCTAGAGGGGTAGTTGAGCAGGTGCCAGGACTGTCATTGACATTGATGTGACAATTCCAGTGGCGAGTTGAATCCCTTATAACATAGTAGTTGTCTGCTCTTTGTCTCTGTGTTAAAGAGGCCCACCAATGTCCCTTCTCTTATAATACTTAGGACTGTTCCTAAAGAACTTAGCTATATCTCTGGTGGAGTGGGGAGGTCTCCATCCTCACAGGCAGCCATATAGTGCTTACCTGAGATGCAATATCACCTACTTACTGTATTCTGTCTACATTATTATATTACATAGTAGAATGAGACAATATCAAAGTGAACATGTAATGACAATACATATTAACATTCTTGTAGTAATGATTAGAGAAGTCGATGCCTCATTTCTATATTTTGTCATTAGTTAATATCATCTAACATTTCAGTGTATCATTACAGAAATAAAGCAGCATATAAATAACTTGCCTCCTATCTTTTTCTTCTGCCCTGTAGAATTGCTATAAGGTAATGCTACTGATCCAGAAACCTGAATGACTTCTTTCCTTTCTTCAAGGACATACTCAGGAATTACAAACAAGACCAAGCAAACCTATAACAGCACTTGGATTGAGTTAAAAACAACAAAAACCCATTCTGACCCAAATAGCATTTCCCAGATGTTGCCCTCCCTTAAAAGGGGCAAAATATCTTTGGCAAGAGAGATGGGGTGCGGGATGGGGGGGGAGAGAAGGGAACTGTGGCTGAAACGTCATTGAGAAATTATAACAATCCTTATTTTGTTGGCTACCCTTTCTCTGTGTCCTCTGGAGCTCTGGACCAATGTTGAGCACTGCTATGTCCTCAACTGCTGCCCTCTAGCATTGGGCCTTCAGGAGAACTTCATTCCCCCTTGTAGACAGTGCTTATTTGGGAGGATGCTCATTTGGGTCCATGAACTTCATACAGTAGGGGATAGGGTTGACAGAGGTTTCAGCTTCTAGATAATTGCTACACATCTCTGGGGCTCATGTTCTTGAGTCATTCAACCTACCCACCTGCCAAGGTCATTGCAGAGCAGCACTGGAGGTCCAGTGAAATAGGTGTCTGCTGCACTCTCCTCCCACATGATGGAAGGGTCACCAGGCCATAAGGGCACCTAGTCAAACTACATTTCAGCTAAAGGAAGAGTTGGGAGAGCACGGTAGTCTTTGATGAGCAAAGCCCAGGGCAATAAAAGCAAAGGGCAGAACCCCTTGAGTTCTAATATTTACTATGTTAGAAGGGAATCAGAACCTGTCAGCAAGAAACCATGAGCATTTTTATGAATGGGGACCATCCCCTTGTGTTTTCCTGGAGAAATGAGAAACCCTTAAACAATGAAGAGTCTATAATCGACCCTCGCCACTTTGCACTTTGACTTTCGCGGCTTCACTCTATCATGTTTTTTTTTTCAAATACTATACTATACTATATTTGAAAAAAACCGCGATAGAGTGAAGCTGCAGTGTAAGCGCGAAGTAGCGAGGGACAGCTGCATATAAAAAAGAATCCTACTAGCAAAATTCATTTTTTGCTGTAGAGTCTGGAACTGATTAACCGCGATAAACGAGTGCTGACTGTATATCTAGTTATCTGGGGTCCCAAGTAAGTGAGTGGGGTAGGGAATTTAGATGGCACCTCTCTGCTTCCTGAGACCCTGGCAAGGGATAGAGCCCAGATAGGACACGCACATTCCCACCATTCACCCAAGACTTGCCATGACACATCTCTAGTACCCTCCTCCTCTGCTTGCTCCACTTCAGCAAACCCTGGAACTTTGCAGCATCCAGACTCATCTGTACTCTAACCATGCCTTCTTCCTGATCCTACTTATTCTCACTGAGTTCATTCTTGGCCTTCTAGTTCACTGACTGCTCCAGGTTTTCTCAGTCTCTAGTGGCCTTTACTTCCCTCCATATTTACCCTAGATTCTGTGCTCTAATTTCAATCGTTTTTTATTCCCTCCTTAATTCTGTTACCCCTTTGCTTTCCTTTTCCACTAGGCCTGCAAACCCCCTGCCCACACCACGCCCAAAGAGCTCTGCTGAGATAAGCCACACAATTACAGACTGCAGCTACCAGTATTGCATGAACTTCTGTCAGGCCCTCAGCCCTGTATCACCACTCCACCACTTCCTCCATATTCCTAACAGACTTCTCCCACCAGGAAACAAAACCACGGGAGTCAGCCTCTGGCTATTGCTTGCCACCCGATGCCTGCTCTTAACACTCGATATCTTTAGAAATACAGTCAAACCTTGGTTCTCGAACATCTCCCATCTGGAACAAATTGGTTCTTGACCAAGTTGTTCACAAAAAGTGTCTCAGTTGTCCTGGCAGGTTTGGCTCAGCAGTTAGAGCCGCTGACCTGTGGAACAAAGAGTCTCGGTTTCAGTTCCGGTCTAGGGCATGTACCTCGGTTGCAGTTCGTGCAGCAGGCAACCAGTCTATGTGTCTCTCTCACATTGATGTTTCTCTCTTTCCCTCCCTCCCTCCCTCCCTCCCTCCCTCCCTCCCTCCCACTCTATCTGAAGATAAATGGAGAAATATCCTCAGGTGGGGATTTTTTTGAAAAGTGTCTCAGATGTCAAACAAAACTTTGGTTCTCAACCCAACAACCCTTTTATGCTAACACTTCCATGATCAGACATGAGTCTCTCAGGTGACAAAGAAAGGAGAGTGCATGACTATGAGTTAGTTTACTGCTAAACCTCACTTTGTTATCATTTCAGGAAATGTGCTGTGAATATTTTCGTTTTTTTTTTTTTTTTTGCTTTTGTTGCTCTATATTAAAGGTAAGTTCTAGTGTGTACATAAATTTTCATTTTTTACTGTACATTTCATTTCCTTTTTGTTAAATTTTCATTTACCTTTCATGTCATTTTTGCTTGTAAAGTGTTTATTTATAGATTAAGCAGTACACTAGACATGTACTGTATATAAGAAAGGTTAAAACGGAATCATTTGGGAGTGTGGAATGTATTAATTCAATTTACATTATTTCTAATGGGAAAAATTGATTTGGTTTTCAAACAAATTGCTTCTCGAAAAGCCTTCCAGAATGAAACAAGTTCAGGAAAAGGAGTTCCACTGTAAGCATCTTATACATATTACATCAGACCCTCACAGCCAACACTGGCACTCTTGCCCCTATCTTCCACTTAAGCAAACTGAAGTTCAGAGAGGTTATTTGGTTTGCCTAAGGTCGCAGATAGTAAGTCACAAATTGCCACCCTGGACACACCTGTAGCCTATCCATTATGACACTGCACTGCCATAAAAATGGTGAAACCCCTTAGGTCAGGGACAGTGTCTTACACATCACAACAAGGAAAGTGTCATGCATAGTGACAACCATAAGACTCAGGAGGAAAGATGGGGAATTTTAGTTACCAAATTTTCAGTAGGAAAACCTTTTCTCCCTCATAATTAAAGGAAGCAGGATGTCAACAACTTATCTACCTGAGTCTCCAGCAAGTGAGCAAGCACAGGGCTGTGCCGCAGCAGGAACAGAGAAATGCGTAAAAGAACTTGTTTCTTTACCCTCTTCTGGCAGTGATTCTGACAGTAAAGTTGACAAAAAGTTAAAGATGAAAAAGCAAGTTACTTCAGAACCAAAAGTCTGGAGAAACTTCAAGAGCCTTGTCATCTTGTAAGCAGAGCAACAGCAGCAGAGATGACAACATGTTTCAGATTGGGAAAACGAAGTACATCAGTGTTCAGGACTTTAAAGGAAAAGTCCTAATTGATATTAGAGAATATTGAATGGATTCAGAAGGTGAAGTGAAACCAGGAAGAAGAGGTGTTTCTTTAAATACCAAGCAATGGAGCCAGCTGAAGGAACAGATTTCTGACATTGATGATGCAGTAAGAAAACTGTAAAATCAGAACCAAATAAAACTTGTATTGTTCTAGTTGATTTATTGTCTTTTTATATTGATTTTTGTTTTCAAATGTTGTTTTCCAAGCTATCATATATTTGGATTGTAGAATATTTTGTAATAACATATTTTTTTTTAAAGTGAATTTCTTTGCTACATCAATCTAAAAAGCTTCTGCACAGCAAAAGAAACCATTATCAAAATGGAAAGGCTACCCACTGTATGGGCGAACATCACTGCCAATGATATATCAGATAAGGGGTTAACTTCCAATATATATAGAGTGCTCATACAACTCAAAAAAAGGAAAACAAAGAACCCAATTGAAAAATGGGCAGAGGAGCTGAATAGACACCTCTCCAAACAGGACGTACAAATGGCCAAGAGACATATGAAGAAATGCTCAACATCACTAATCATCAGAGAGATGCAAATTAAAACAAAAATGAGATATCAGCTCACACCTGTCAGAATGGCCGCCATCAACAAATCATCAAACAACAAGTGTTGGCGAGGGTGTGGAGAAAAGGGGACTCTAGTGCACTGCTGGTGGGAATGCAGACTGGTGCAGCCACTATGGAAAACAATATGGTGTCACCTCAAAAAATTAAAAATTGAACTTCCATTTGACCCAGTGATCCCGCTTCTAAAAATATACCCTAGGAAACCTAAAACACCAATCAGTAAGAATATATGTACCCCCATGTTCATAGCAGCACTATTTACAATAGCTAAGATCTGGAAACAGCCCAAGTGTCCATCAGTAGATGAATGGATAAGTAAGCAGTGGTACATATACACAATGGAGTACTATGCAGCTGTAAGAAAGAAAGATCTCTTATCCTTTGAGACAACATGGAGGGACCTGGAAAGTATTATCCTAAGTGAAAAAAGCCAAGCAGAAAAAGACAAATACCACATGATCTCACTTATATACGGAATATAATGAACATAACAGTCTGAGGAATACGGTAGACCCAGAAACATGGAAGTAGTGCACAGACTGACATCCCTCAGAAGAAGGGGTGGGGGTGGTGGGAAGAGATAAACCACAGAACTTATATGCATGTATACATAACCAATAGACATGGACAACAAAGCCAGGGATGGGGCGGGGTTGGGGTGAGGAGGGGGGTGCCAATGGGGTAAAAAAGGAGAAACATCTGTAACAAATAAATTAAAAAAATTTTTTTAAAAAAAAAAGTAAATTTTTTAAGCTGTTCTGAGTGAGGCTAATTGTCAACTTTATTAAGGGGCATTGCGTTGTGTCCACCACATAGTATAAAATAAAATCAAGTAATACAATCTTAACTGTTGTGCCTTCTTTAATCATAAGAATTGGCATTGTTTAAGGTCAAAAGTTAAGTTTATAGACCTTTTAATTTCAACTTGGCTTTTACATTCAAAATTATTTATATTGTATTGAATTTACAAACTTTTGATTTGTGAAATCCATAGTCAATCTGTTTTCTCCTGAACAAATGTCTAGGCTTTGGTTTTTCCACCCCAGTGATACTTCACTTTCCCCTTTTTATCTTTATTTTTCTTTCATAACTTGTCA